AAGATAGTGTATCCATCGGGCGGCACACTGTATTCATTCAGTAACTTTTCGACATTGGATCGCAAGATCTGATAACGAGATGGCGGAATTGTATGATCAATCGCGGAATGACGCCTTACAACGTCTCAACCAAACACTACTCCAAATCGACCCGTATATCCTACCTCCATATCCCAACCTCTCTATCGTCGCCGGGCCATTAGATCCCCCACTACTCCAATTGACCCTGTCGCAACTACTTCGGAAACAAGTCGATTGCTATCCGGAGAATGAAGCTGTTGTCATTCCCTGGACTGGCGCGCGGTGGACATACCAGCAGCTATGGGACGAGTCGAGCTTGCTAGCAAGAGCGTTGCTGAAAGAGGGTGTAAGACCGAGAGATAGGATAGGAATCATGAGCGGTAATTGCGAAAAGTATATTGCACTCTTCTTTGCATGCGCAAGGGTAGGGGGCATTTGTGTTACGCTCAACAACACGTATACGGCGACAGAGATGGAGTACGCGCTAAAACATACAAGTAAGTGTTCTTGACGGGTGGTATGAGAGAGCGAGACTGACCAAGGTAGAATGTAGAGTACTCTTCACAACACCCACGATCGCGCGCTTCGACAACGGACCATTACTGCACAAGCTCAGCCAACCCGATGTCGCGTCCACACTACCAGACCTCAAGACTGTATGTCTGATCCGCGGCCAACACGACAGCTTCATCAGCTACTCCTCCCTCATCGAAGAAGCCCAATATATCCCCGAGCACATCTTAGACATCTTCGACGGCATAATAAGTCCCTACGACGTCGCAAACCTCCAATTCACAAGTGGCAGCACCGGAAACCCAAAGGCTGCCATGTTGACACACCAGTAAGTGTCTCCTCTTCTATTCTACCAATACGCGTCTGACCTCGTTTAGCAATCTGATCAACAACTCGCGCTTCATAGGGGATCGCATGGATCTGACACCCAACGATACCCTCTGCTGCCCGCCGCCCCTCTTCCATTGTTTCGGTCTAACACTCGGTCTCCTCGCTTGCCTCACACACGGTGCCAAGATTGTCTTCCCAGCCGAATCCTTCGATCCCGTCGCTTGCATGCGTGCAATTGACGCAGAACGCTGCACAGCCCTACATGGTGTACCCGCCATGATGGAGTCTATAATGGATGTCCCACGGCCGGAGGGATGGACAAGTGATCTCAGAACGGGCATTGTGGCGGGCAGTCCAGTGCCAAAGTGGCTCATGGAGCGCATGGTCAATGAGCTCAACATGTCGGACTTTACATCTTCGTACGGGCTCACGGAAGCGAGCCCTACTGTGTTCAACGCGCACACAAACGACTCGCTGCATGCGCGGTTGACTACTGTTGGAACAGTATTGCCTCATGCGCGGGTAAAGATAGTGGACCATCAGGATCGCATCGTGCCAATCGGTGTAAGGGGCGAGCTCTGCGTCGCGGGATACCAAGTCTGTCGTGGATACTGGGAGAATGCTGAGAAGACGGCGGAACTTATCGTGCGCGACGAGTATGGCGAGCCTTGGCTACACACTGGTGACGAGGCAGTCTTGGATGTAGATGGATACTGTACCATCACCGGAAGGTTCAAGGATATCATCATCCGAGGTGGGTATTCCCCTACAATCAGTACATCTCCCATTGCTTCTGTACTAACAGCATACCAGGAGGCGAAAACATCTACCCCCTAGAAATCGAAGAACGTCTCGTCGCACACCCATCCATCACCCGCGCCATCGTTGTCGGCGTCTCACATCCCCGTTACGTCGAGGTACCTGCTGCCTTCCTCCTACACGAGCCGAATACAGACAAGCCAGATTTAGCAGAAGTGCAGGCATGGGTACGGAAAGTACTCGGCAGGCACAAAGCTCCTGTTCACATCTTCTGGCTAGGAGAGGACTGTGACGCTGAAGTGCCGTTGACAGGTAGCGGTAAGATCAAAAAGTTTGTGTTAAGAGATGTTGCAGAGGATTTGTTGAAAGGGCGATGATCACGAGGTCGGGATGTCACGTGCAGACGTGGCGCGGTCGAAATTTAGCGTGTCAAACTTCAGCGCCCGCGGACAAGCTTTATCTATTTTATTGCGACGCCTTCAACGTTCTTGCATCAATTACATTTTTGTTGATCCGCATATCACTACGATGTCTCCGTGTCCTCTTGACCGTCTCCCGCCCACTCTGAGATGTCCCTGCCTTCGAACACTTGATGTTCCTCGGAGGACGCAAAGCACACGTCATGGCATCGTCAAAGCTACAGCGCCAATGCTTCCTTCAGGCTCACGCGACGCGGTCAGCCAATGATCTTCCGGCTATCACATCAAACCGTCATGATTATCGACTTACAGGAATATACAGCACCATGGATTTCCACGTGCTCACTACCTACGCCTCTCCTCCCACCTGTCGTTAAGACATGTCATTGTCTGCCCCTCGTCTCCTTCATTCCAGTTTCCTACGAACCCCCGCTCGTGTATCCACGATACGTCTAGCTTCATATAGCAGACTTGTGTCCCGCCTACAGCAAGTGCCGAACTACCAATTTGCGAGACAGCGAGCGAATATGGCGACCATGAGCCGTGACGCGTCAGTAGCTACGGCCAAGACGTCAGATCCAAAACACTTCATGTATACCAGTGGAGAGACTGATCCGGTATGGATACATCACCTGCCTTACAAGAACATTCCCAAGTTCCCCAAGCTTGATAAGGACCTTGAGACAGACGTCTGCATTGTTGGCGCTGGTATCTCTGGTGTCTCAGTGGCCTACGAGCTAGTAACTCGTGGGCTGAACGTCGTCTTGATCGAGGGCCGTGAGGTACTGTCAGGTGAAACTGGACGTACAAGCGGTCATCTCGCTAATGATCTTGACGATGGCTACACGGCGATCGCGAAGAAGCACGGAGACAAAGGCACAAAAGCTGCCGCAGAATCACATACTTGGGCATTGAACCGCGTCGGCGAGATCTCAAAGCAGCTGGGCATTGAGTGCGAGTACCGCCATCTCCCCGGCTACGACTTCTCTCAATACCCAAAGGACTCGAAAGACCACGCGAGCGACATCAAGGAGTTGATTGAGGACGGCAACAAGGCGAAGGAGCTTGGCATTGTGACAGAGTACAAGGAGGGGTTCAAGCTCAAGGGCTGGGAGGGCAGCATTGATCAGAGCGACGCTGTTATCTACCCTCAGCAAGCGACATTCCACCCCACCAAGTACGTCGTCGGTGTTCTCGACTTCCTCAAGCAGCAGCCCAACTTCTCGTGTTACACAAACACTCGATGCATTGATGTGCAAGAGAAGGGTGTAGAGATCATGGGCCTGGGCCACAAAGACGTATACGTTAAGACCGCTAACGGAAACACGATCAAGTGTGCCGACGCCGTCGAAGCAACCTGCGTCCCACTACAGAAGTTATCCGTTATCGCCGAGGAGGAGTACTACCGCACCTACTGCATCGCCATCCGCGTACCCAAGGGCTCAGTCGAAGACGCCCTGATCTACGATTCGGCCGAAATCTACAAGTACATCCGCCTCACTGAGTGCGACTCAAACGATGACTACATGGTCGTAGGAGGCGGCGACCACAAAGTCGGCCAAGCTGACACTGTCGTACCCTTCAAAGAACTCGAAGAATGGACCCGCGCCCGCTTCCCGCAAGCAACCACAATTGACTACAAGTGGAGTGGTCAGGTCTTCGAGCCAGTCGATCACATGGCCTTCATCGGCAAGAACCAAGGCAACAAACATATCTACATCATCACTGGTGACTCGGGCAACGGTCTCACTCATGGTGTCCTGGCGGGTAAACTCATCGCGGATTCCATAACTGAGCAACCCAACGACTGGATCTCGGCTTACGATCCCAAGCGTCTTGCTTCCATTGCAAAATCTGCTACCAGTATGATAAGCCACGACCTGCAAATTAACGCACAGTACAAGCGCTTCGCCCAGTCAGATATTAAGGATATCGAAGATCTTGTACCTGGCGAGGGTGGTGTTCTCAACACCAATCCTACCAAGCCTCTGGCTGTATATAAGGATGAGGGCGGTCAGATACACAAATTCTCAGCGCTGTGTCCGCATCTCAAGGGTGTGGTATGCTGGAATACTACGGAAAAGAGTTGGGATTGCCCAGTGCATGGATCAAGATTTAGCAAGGACGGTGTGCAGCTTTGTGGACCGTCGAAAATGGGTCTGGAGCCTGCGGACGAGAGTGGGAAGATGGTGCAGGAAAAGGCTCTCAAGGTTTGAACGCGCCATGCTGGCAGTGTTAAATCATTGCAAAGTAGTACAATGATTATGCAAAAAACAACAAACTCGTTCCCCTCATCAGCTGCTCCGCCAGACTACACTCACTTCCTGTCGTGCCGACCACAGGTAACAATTAACATTTTCCACTTTCACTTTCACCTTCATCTTTCTTGCATCCTCCCACAATCATGTCATCATAAAATCTCACTCTCACCTATTCGAAGTACTCGCTGATCCAAGCCCATTCTACCACGCTGACCCTAACCCCACTTGCACAAACGACTCCATTGCCACCCTCTTCTGACTGACCTCAAATGGCGACCTCCACCTCCAATCGCCGCACCTCCCAACGCTCTGCCCGCGCCCAAAGTATCCAAAGCATACAATCTGACTCGTCCTTCACACCACGTCCAACGCCACCTCCACCACCACAGCGACTCAGTCGCGGCGTCCGCGCTAACAGTATCGTCAGTGAATTCGCCTCACCTTCTGTAGCAGACACAACAAACGAGATAGACGAAAAGAAATCTAGACTCAGGCTATTGCCAGCGCATTATCTTCTCCCACCGACACACCCCAGCCCGTACGAGGGAAGCTTGGAGAGGAGCTTAGATGCTATCCAAGACTGGGGACGCCTCCACATGTCCGTCAACGGGGTTACGCAAGGCAAGTCACCGTCCATCGTCTGTTACGAACTATATGTGAGGTGAGTACTAACCCTGGTCAATTGAACTCTTCAGGCATGCAAAACCTCATCGACACGCTCCTCAAGCCAGTGGATATGAAAACAAATTGGTGTGTAGTAGTCTATAGCATCCGCGCTGGCCCACCTGAACATAGCCGTGACCTGATCGAAGAGCTGCTGTTCCTACTCACGCGCACCCTTCTACCCGAGCAGATCGTCGAGAATAGAGGGCTGATGGCGCGTCTTTACAATGCGAAGAAACAGCTCGCCATGCGCCTGGCATTGCGGTACGATATGTTGAGGGAATGGAAAATGGAAGCTGGGACGTATCATCGTGACCAAGCGGTCACTGTAGCATCGGAACCACCGCCGGAGCGAGTTAACTTGCCAGCGCCCGCGGCCGTGAGCGAGGATGTGGAAAGAGGATTTCCCTTCCGACGTCCCCTCCTGCCGAATATCATACCCACCTTGATCGCAGCTCCGTCAGGCGGCTTCACGACACACGGCGTACGCGAGCGAATGAAACACCACGTCACGGACTTAGACGCCTACCTTCTGTTGGAAGACGAAGAGGTGGCAGGGTGGAGCGGCTTGAAGTTAACAACTACCATAATTCAAGTTCTTCTGCATTGGCAGTGGTTGAGGCAAAACAATGCAGTGCTGGATGAGATGGAGGTCCACGGATGGGAGGACTTGGAAGGCAAGGCCGATGAGTCGGAGTGGATTGCTGAGGATGTGAAGAGGAATATTGTGGGTGGAGGAAAGAGGGAGAGGGCGGTGGTTCGAGAGGAATGATGAGATGAGGGTTGAAAAAGGTAGGTTGGTGCGTCTAGATCGGAAACGACTCCACACCCGACGAAAAAAAAAAACGAGAAATTCACCCACAATGCCGTCCACCACAATCATGGCAACCAGACCTGGACGGACGCAAAAAGTTGGACTTGCAGGGAATCGAACCCTGGACCACTCCCATGCTAAGGGAGTATTATACCACTAAACCACAAGCCCGATTTTGCTCTTGTGAAGAGACTACGTATACATCTAATATATTCCGAGAGAACTGAAGATAGGATGACGCACCCCACACTACAGACCGCCTTGTCGGTGTACGCTGCTATTCTTGCTCCAGCGACGGAACGTCTTGCCTTTCTTCCAGAACAGTATACCAAATAAGCACCATAGCGTGATCAAAGCCGCGTTCGTCATGATGGGTGAGATAAATCTAGTCTTGTTAACAGTGATCGGTTGCATGTAGAAAATGGTAGAACTTACCCAGCCTCCTCACTCCAAGGCGTAATGAACTTGCCAAAGCCATAGCCCCAAACATTCTTGTTGACAGTGACAGCGACCATCAAAGACCCAGCTACAGGCTTGTAGGAGTCGATGGCATATGTACTGACGATACCGGGTAGAGCTGCGACTTGGATTCCAGCACAGGTGTACCCGATAATAATGATGGCCTCCCAGGGCCACTTGCGCTCGTAGCCTATGGCTACGACAATGTTGCCAATAAGCATTATGATGACATAGGGTACCATGGCTGGCAAGCGCATCTCAGGCTCACGAATCCCATTGTTCTTCCGGGTACTTCTCGCAGATACCCAATCACTGAGTGGACCAGCTGTGAATAGTCCGATGAAGGCACCGACCATAACAGCAAAGTTGGTGAATCCGACAGTCATGGGCTTGAAGTTGTACGGTGGCAAGGACAGGACTTGACTCTGTGTAAGGTTGATTGTGAGAAAGCTGGAGCATGACCAACTGACAACAAAAGCGGCGAATTCGACAATGGGGAAGGCGAACAACTTCCAAGGAATCCAAAGGTCGAGAAAGATGGAACGGAATGGGTGGGCGTTCGGTTGGAACATCTTCCATTGCCATTTGCCAGGCTTGCCACGTCCCAGGAAGGGATCGCGCTGTGTGGTCTCGGACATTTCCAGGCCGGCAGTACTAGGAAGAACAGAGTTGGCGGTGTTGATGTGTTGGATTTGATTTGTCTCTTTCTCAGAATCAGAGTTGTTGACTTCTTCCCGGGTGGTCGCTTTCGTCTTCTCTTCAAGCGAGTTGGCTTGCTTCTGCCCAACGTGCTCAGGTAAAGCACGCTTGAACCTTGTTTCAGGAAACATGAACACTACCATCAAGAACGAAAGGACCAGGATGCCAGTGTTGAGCCACCAAAAACTGCGCCAGCCGACTGTTTCGGTCATCGATCCTGACACAATAGGACCAACCATGAGCGAGCCCATGTACACGACCCAGTACAGAGTGTTCCACTTTCCGCGGTCGTGCAAGAAAAAGACGTCGGCGATGACTTCCGGCATGATAGTCTCAGCCGGTCCAGCGCCGATACCATTAACGATGCAGGCGCCCATGAAGGAGTTGTAAGAGTTGGACTTGGCACGCCATATTGACGTACCAATGTTGATAAGCTGGGACGCGAGATAGACGGGCCGACGACCGAAAGACGTGCTGATCGGTACCCTAGAGATTGCTTGTCAGCCTTTGAGTCTGAATGATACAATGTTCGTACTCACCAGATGAAGTTGCTGAATCCGAGTACCAAGATACACACGCCAGTGAATTGCACTGCTCCCGCCAGATCGGTCTCGAAAGCTTCGATGAGTGCGGGAAACATAGGTGCAAGAGCTAACGGACCAAATCCTTGCGTAAACGTGACCATAGATGCTGAGATGATACATGCTAGCTTCCACCTAGTGCTCCAGTTCAGTGGGTCATTTGGATCATCACTAGGTTGTGGAACGAGGACCTCGCGATGTGTACCCTTGACGAAATGATGTGAGCCAACATCTGTCATAACCTCCGTGCCAGGAAGGATCTCCGTGTGAAGCTCCTCTTCGAGCTGTCGGCGTTCCTGCATTTCTTAGTACTGTCAAATGAAGATCAAGACGGAACCTTACATCTTCATTGTAGTCGTGAGCATTCATGGTGAGTCAAGCAACTACTCTGCGAGAGTAGCGAAGATGGTGATCAATTCCAGAACGCGGCAAAGTATATGTGTCGTCTGCAATAGCCGAAACCGCACAACGCAAAGCTCTCGAATTGCGTACTGGTGCTGCTATAACGTGACTTCTCACCTCATTCCGAGGTAGAGTTCAGCTGTGGCTTGTTATCGAGCGTCGAAAGTCGGTAGAATAGCGCCGCGAGCGGACACGATAATTCGGCAATTGTAGTCGGAGCCGTTTCCAAGGCGAAGAGCTGGCGTATACACAGCAATAAGGCCGACGCGTGGCTGAGCGTCTAGATATTTATGAGAAAGCTTGACACCCAGCCGCCAGGTTCTCCGCATCCTTCACACGTGGTGGGCGGTTGTGCCGTCTCATCCTTTGTAGCTAATCATCGACGGCTCATATCAGCGGATGCTGTCCATTCAGAGGCCTCGTATATGTGATAGCCTGATTTTAGCCCCAGCACATCGATACGTACCCATGCTCGCAGCTCTGCACGGTGATGTTCCTACCCCGGATTCAGGATCGAGCGGAGGCGGATGAATTGTGCGGCAAATGAGCTGGTGTACAGTCGCAGTTCATTCAGCCATGCTGCCCGGGATTAGTTGAGATTGAGCCGACCGCACGGATACTTGATCAAAAGAGTGATGGTACGATCATGGTGAGTGAGGTTTGAGCGACTTGTGTAACTGCCGAGCCGCGCTATCTCGCGCTACGTCGTTAGTGTGATGCGGGGAAAACAGGGGAAGGCGCCACAAAAGGACCAGATCCAACAAGATCGTGGAGCTTACGACACCAGCATTAGCGGTCGGGCGTTGCACGTCCACCCTGGTAAGATACCATGTAATTTGATATTAAGGCACAATTTAGTCACTATGCCACATTTGCCTCAGAAAACCCTTATGGTCACTGTCATGCTTCCCTGCCGTTGCATGAGACCACCATTGCTGTCTGTTTTCCGATAAAACCTCGCCCACAACTTCAGACTTAGCATCCATTACACCTTGCTCGCGCAAACGGACATTGTAATCTAGAATACGTTCACAGTCCTTCCAGATCCGCGCACGGTTTCGCATGCCCGGTATTGGGGTCGTATCAGGATTGGATAGGCGCCACAGACGTGCCCAGTCCAGATCATGTCCTATATGTTTCCCACCTAAAGGTAGACGACAGATCCATTCTGCTACGCCGTCGCGGAATGTTCGCCATTCTTGAAGCAAGTGCTCTGCTCTTGCCCTATATGGAGCAAGGATGGCCTCACGACGTGATGAATTGGATGTCTTGACAGCATTTCCAAAACACTCCATTTCTGGGTCTTCTTCTATGATCTGCGCCCAGAGCGCATTCTCTTGTTCCTCAGTTTCAAGATCGTATGGCAGGTCAGGAACAACGAGGCCAGGGGGGTTGCAGGGATCCCATGACATTGGCCAGTCTGGTGAATTTGGGTATCGCTCGGCTTCAAACGCTTCCCATAACCAGCCCATGTGTTCAACGGCAAGAGCTCTGAAGAACGGTTGTGTATGGCAGCGGAGTTTGCTGCAAGTAGCTGCCACTGCACTCAACTCGTATTCCCCGAGGAATGATATGATATGGTCGATAAGCTCGGTTGGTAGCTCAAGAAGGTGTGCTTGGAGGTTTTGAACCGTACGTTCAAGTGTGTTGGAGGTAAAGCAACTTTCAACTAACCTGCAGGACTCCGGAATCTCTACGGGGTTTGCAGCCAACCACTCATCGCCCGGCTGATGGCACCATGGATTGCCCTCATCATGTCGCCCTCGAGCTACCTCCGGATAGGGAAGCACATCATCTCTGGTAAGACTGTATGACTCTGGATAGGACTGCATCTCCCGCCAATGCCAGATTCCGTCCAAGTCGACTCGCCCAAGTCGGCGGTAAGATGCCTTTGCAAATATATCAAGGCAATACGAATGGACAGGCAACGGCCGCCATCCATCAGAGTTCTGGATTGGTGTCAAAACTTGGAGCAAACAAGTAAGCAGAAAGCATATCCCACATACATTGCATCCGTCATTTATATACAGGGTCCAGCAGTTTACCTTGTCCACACCATAGCGTGGCGGGTAGACGTAAGGCGGCGCCACAGGCGACAAATAGGACCCGTTTGATTCGCCGGATAGAACGAACGAACTGCCACGTTCGAAGATGTTATCGCTCTTATCGGCTTGCCAGTTCGGTGGCTTTGCTAACAGAAATCTATGGTTACGGCAGCCTTTCATTTGTTCTACGCTCAGGAAATGACCATTGATGCCTTGGAGACTTTGACAAGAAGGCGCCGCGATATGTTCCAGGGGCAGTCTATACGAGCCGCATGCTTGTTTTGGTAGAAGGTCTCCAAGGTACCGCGGCCCCTCCCACTCTCTGGTATACATGTAACCGTTGCGCAACGTACCGTGTGGAAGATGCCTTGGCTGTGGAGGCGCATGCAGCTCACGCAAAGCGCTACGTATGTTGTTATCAGTGTCCTCGCCATCTACACTCTCGTCGTCGCTTTGTGATATGTCTGAGGACTCCACAACACAATCGGCTTCGCTGTCATATTCCAGCATCTCCCCTCCCGCGTCCGAATCATCTTTCGGTAGCCATTCGCCATCTTCAGCGTCTTCATCTGGCCAGAGAGGGCCGCCAAAGATTGCGTTCTTGATGTCTTTGTCAAGGCTAGCTGGAGTTCGATCTAGGGTGGTACATTGTTCGCATTGTCGATCTGGGAAAGAATTTCCGTAAATGTCTCGGAACCTGTCAAAGCCCACATAACCGTGACCTTCATAATTCCAGGCCGCGTCGGGAGGGTCTTCTGGAGTCCGAATTCGT